AGTAATGGGAGTTACCAGATCGGTGGGAGAGGCCAAAACAGAGGGGCGTTTTCAATCATGATACCTGATTGGCAGATGTCATAGTGACGGGTAGGTTTAGAGGTGGGGTTAGGTAAGGGGGATCATTTTCATTGCAAACACCCATCAGTTTGAAAACACCCACAAAGTCAGAAACGCCCACCTTTGCTCTGCAGAGGCCTCGATCTCGGCTCAAAATGACGTCATTGGTGCAAGATGACAGCAGCCATACTTTGGCTTCACTTTTCATACTTTGGCTGCGTCGGAAAGAAACAGAACCCATTCACCTTTGTAGAAGTCAGTGTAGGCTATAATTTAAAACTGATATTTCAAAGTACAAATCACACACAGTTGCTCTAACATATGCCATATCATTTAATTATGATTAAAATGAAACAGAATGCATTACAAGTTATAATTTATATGTTTATATAAAACATTGCAAGGTGATATATAGCCTGATCGACATGAGGTCGATCATGAGAGAGATCAAAATTATTCAAAAAACAATTTCTTGTGACAAAGATTCCTCCACAGCCACAGGAACCACTCAGTCCACTGTACAGAAGCTCAGGACAAAATGCTGTACAGAATGCAAATTAATGCCAAAGTGAACAAACTGGCTGAATGAAAACAAATGTTGTCACATCATTTCCTGAAAGTTCCTCAGTTCTCCAGCAGAGGTCCAGCTTGTGAATACCAGTCCCTTGAGCAGGGAATTAAAAATATATACTGTATTATCTGGTCGATCACATATGCTATTACCTTCTGATACATGGTATTTAATGCGATTGTGTAGGTATGATCACATAAAATTCTTTAGTTTTTTGTCTGTTCAAGTTGCTGTATCATAAATTTCCCAGAGTGATGGTAATTATTCAGATAAATTAAGCAGATATGGTCAATTTACAGCACAAGAAGTACTGCAGTGTTATTAAGTTGAAGATTGTTCTCTATAAGTTCTCCACCTAGTTCCTGTTTTCTGACTCATCTTTATTATTGTTCAGCCTACAATGGAACAGTCACAGGAGACCTTTTGTGGGTGGTGTGACCTAGTGGTTAAAGATCCAGTAATTTAAAGGTTGGCAGCTTAAATCCCAGAGGGGGTGTTTCACGAAAGTGGTTCATTATAACGTCAGGTTCCTCTACATGAACTGTAATAAATGTACTGTAAATCACTTCAAGCAAAAAAAAGAAAAGAGCATTACTAACCAGCGTTATTCACAGATAAAGCAGCTCGCTGAGGTGCATTTGTGTAATTCATCACCAATCCCTGACAGTTTCCAGGAGCATCATGAGGTCATACCTGTCGGTAAATTAGCACAGGAAGGTCACTAATTAAAGCTGGTCAATCTTTCTCAAGTGGCCTCAATCAGGCTGCAGTTACAGTTATGAGACACTGAACACTGGGGCCCCCCAAGGATGTGTGCTGAGCCCCCTCCTCTTCACTCTGCTGACCCACGACTGCACACCGTCACACAACTCCAACCTCCTTATACGGACTCTCCCACTCCCCCCTCCCAAATACACACACACACTGTCACTTTAATCAATCAGTCTGAATAAGCTCTTTTGCACTACAAATAATTTTTTTGCACTACAATCATTACATCTGCACTGTTGTTTACTTTACTGGTTTGCACTCTATCTGCCATATGCCTTGTGCTTTATATATATATTTTTTTACATTTTACCTTATTTGTATATTTGTATAGTTGTATTTTATATTTAATCTGTATCTATCTGTATTTATGTTCTACTGTAGTGTTATCTGTATGCACCAAGGGTCTGAGAGTAACGCAATTTCAATTCTCTGTGTGTATGTGCTGTGCATGTGGAAGAATTGACAATAAAGCAGACTTGACTTGACTTGAGACCAATCACTTTACATCATTTTATCTATGGGTGTTTCTTTAACTATGTTCCTGTGGAAAATAAACTCTTAAAACACACATTTCACACTATCACTGTTTATTATTTATTTATTTATGAATAAATATAATTTCCAATTATATTGTGCTTGATAAAATCCTGTGGTGAAAATGACATTTTAAATATTATTGGAGTAAAATAGCCTAATTACTGAAGCTAATTTTAGCTATGCATTCTAAATACACAGAATGAAATAATATTTTCGTACTTTTTGTACATTTTTACTTATAATCATGACCATAAAACTATGCAAAAAATATTTATACTTCCACTTTTTGAATAATTTTAAAGAGTGAAAAGTTGGGACACGGTTAAACAATAAAAAATACATGAATTTATTTTGAAAAATAAATAAATAATAATAAAAAAAAAAAAAATTCCAAGACAGTTTTAATGTAACTTTCATATAACAAAAAAAAGGTAAAAAAAAATTTTTTAATAAAATATCTGAAACGCTGCATGATTTGATGTGTCATTCACTCACTTATATGTCGTAGTTTAATACTTCAAGGTTTGTTGAAATCTAACCCTAAGTACTGTATGTGCAACAGTAATAGCCATGCTTTCGTGTGCATATCCTTGCAATGAAATTATGAGTTTCTATTCTTCTCAAACTGTCAAAAATAATAGACACATATATATATGGTATGATTTAACACCGTCTCAAATGAATTCGCATTAACCTGTTAGGAGGGTTTTAAGGGAAAATGTGCCATAGACTGGCATTCACCTACAACACGGCTTGAGAAGATAAACCCTTCTTGGCATGTTTACCTTGTAAATTAGATCCATTAGCTCTTTAGAGAATGATCCAGGATAGGGTTTTATTGTCAATATCTGTTGTTGCAAACTTGATTTCAGGTTTAAAACACACTGAACTCATCAGTGCTATACTTCAAGGTTCATTTGGCACAGTTACCATATCAGAAAAATATATTCTAGGTTTAGGATATAGGTTAATTGGTGCTTCTGAATGCTATTGAACCATTGGACTAACAATAAAACAAATCTCATTATTCTTTCCTATTCTTCCCTCAAAATTGGGAAATATAAGATATCAAACAAGATCAAATATAAAACCAACATTGTCCATTATCATAATGAGAAAATCACTGTCTTATAATCATAACTTTAATCAGTTTCCTCACTTTCCTTGCTCCATTGCTCTTTGTGTCACTCGTGACGTCTGCTCCACGGATACACCTGCTCTAATTCCTTAACGGGATTGCCGATTCCCCGGATATCCCCTTAGAACCTGATTAGAAGAGCTCAACTCATTAGCTCAAACCAATTCAAACCCCTCAACCACAAAGCCAAAGAACAGGCCCCCTCCTATCAAGCATTCACCAAACCACACCAATGACCCTTTTAGAAACAGCATGTCTAGTGTTAACATCGGTGAAATGTGATAAAACAAGTGTGAATTGCTATGTGGTCTTCGGTCACTTCTGACCGGAGAATTTTACATTTAGAATTTTAAAAAATCATAGCTTCACCAGAATGGTACGAAACTTTGTGACTTTTATGGCACTTGGTAGGTGAACACAAAAAACAATTGAGGGCATGATTCGAAAAAGCTAAGTGGTCGTAAAAAAAAATAGTCACACTCATGGTCTTCGGTCGAAAATACAGAAAAATTCTACAAATCCCCCACAATGCAGAAGAAAATTGCACAGCAATGAAGGGGTGGAACTCTAAAACATCTAGAGTGCAAAATCAAGACACCAACTCACACACGTGAGGACACACACTTGTACACACACACACCTATGAACTGGTGTGACTGTAACACTGCAACTATGTAAAATAAAATCAAGAATTCAACTACAATGCAGTAAAAAAGTGGACAGCAAGGAAGGGGTTACACTCTAAAACATCAAGAGTGTAAAACAGTTTCATACACTCACAGTCACACACATACAGAATTATACATACTCAAATGAATTGGTATGGCTATAACCATATAGCCAAAATGAGTCAGAAGACTGAAATAAGAGGTTCAAATCAGATCAGACCCAGAAGGATTAAGCTCCGATAAAGCATTCCTGTTCATTTTTGTTACATTTTTATAGAATTTTAATGTTTTGTGTAACAAAATGCTTACTGTGTTCAGATAAGAATGTAGTAATAATAATGCAAAAACCTACACTTCAAATCAACATTTAAAACAACAAAAAAATATAAACCTTGACAAAAAGTAGTCTTTGAGAATGCTTTAATATACATTTAAATCCACAACCTAATAAAAGTAAACAATTATGTATAAAAACAACTAGGGAATTCACACGCCTCTCTATAGAGTCCTATACAGGAATCTTGTGGTTACACCATGAAATTACAGGTTTTTTTTTTTTTTTGCTCTCATCAGGAGGTGCTATTCTGTTTTCAAAAATTGGATTTTAAAGACCTAGTCTCTATTTTAATCTGAAATACTGCATTAATTGAAAAATAATTAGAAAAAAAAGTTGTACTGTTTTCAATGGAAAAAATTTGATCATAATTATTGTATAAATATTAATTAGTACCATAAAATTCTCTCAAAATACAAAAGAAAAAATATTATTGAACAAAAATATATTAGATTGATTTTACTGAAAGAAAGAAAAAAGTTAAATTTCAGGTGTCCGGTCACTTTTGGCCATGAAGACTATGAGTGTGACTCCCAAATGAGGAGCGCACAAGGGTTAAATGCCCATATTACTCCAAAATGGCTGTTAGAACCAACGCTGAGAACTTCATGATAAGATGTTTTTCAGGAATCAAACCATATTTTTGTTCATGCCACACCGTATCCATCACTTCCTCTGTCCTCTGCTTTCTGCGCTCACTCTTGCCTTGTCTTCCGACCCCATAACCTGATTTTCCATTCCATCGGTTTACCTGTTCCTCGCCCTCCCCTTTCCCCCCTTCTCTCTCTCTCTCTCCCTTACCCTTTCTGTGCCCATCTCTGGGCTTATCCTTTCATCCCTGATCTCCTTCATCCCCTCCAATCCTCATCTGTTCCTCTCTTGCAGACAGGGAAGAGAAAGAGAGTTTTTCCACAGGTAAGTTGCATCCAGTCTGTTGGGGGAACCTGTGGGGGGCACAGAGAGAGAGAGAGAACTGTCTTGTGGACTAAACAAAATAGAGACTGGTTCAGAAAGAGAGAGACTTTGGAGTTATAGAGAACGGTAGAAAGGTGAGTTTGTTGTTAGTTTAGTCATTGATTAGTTTGCATAAGAAAAATCATGCAGCGATGCAATGCACTGCAAATAGCGAACAAATGCAAACCTTGTGCATTACAATAAATCTGTTTTTTTAGTATGCATGCACAGAAATGCACAGATAAAGGCTTTTAAATTTTTTTTGCCTATTGATAGCCCAGAAGTAGTTCCTGAATCACATGATCACGAAAGGTTAATCTGCAACTTTAATAATGCTTAATGCTTAAAATGACATTGGGCTGTTAATGTTGGTATTTCAACCATCAACAAAAAAAACGCATCCAGCACTTTCATGAGGAATTTGAGGTTATAGTAACCTTTTTTTTGTCTCCTATATTGATGCATTCCTGTACACTGAAAAAAATTAATTGTAGAAACAATCTGTACTCAGAAATTGCTAGTAAATTTCACAAATAATTACAAAGAAACAGCAAGTAATACATTGAATTCAATGTGAAATTTTGAAGTAGAAAGCAGGGTTATTATAATTAACTAAAACAATAAAAAAAATTGTTACTTTGAATAAAATATATATTAAAACAAAAACTTGAAATAAAATATAAAAACAAGGCAACATTTCTCATTTTCATTTAGTTTAATCCGATGTGCTAAAATAACTCAAACTAATAAAAATTACAAAAACACAACAAAATTACTAAAACTTTCAAATCAAAGTGAAAGCAAAAATATAAAATAAAATTGAATTCAAAATATTTACAAAAAAGTATCTGATTTGACACTAAATTAACACTGGTAGAAAGAGTGAAATAGTATTTTCTTGTACTCCAATAATATTCAAACTTCGAAAAAAAAACATTTTAGCAGTGTTGTTTTCGTTTCTAAACATATCATAATGTCAACTTGTAAAGTTCTCACATTTGGCTCTTTGTAGGATGAACCTAATGCTAGCTACTCTTGAGCATGTAATCAAAAAGACCTTCGAAATCTTGAGATTTATCAGGTCTCATTTCATCTCGATGAACTTCCATATACAATCCATCACATATGTATGGAAGATCACAACATACGAGATATATCACGACATACAACACATGTCCTTTCTTGCCCTTTTTCCTTGTGATTTGTCTTTGATCTCATCACCCCAGGCCCCACCTGATCTCGTAGTAAAGAGCAGTCGGTAATCGGATGACAGGAGATTTGATAAGCCACCCCCGACAGCTCCTGCAGGGGCTTAGACATTTCTTCTAGCCCTCCTCGACATCAATAAAACAACAGCTCTCATCCCGAGCTGAACACAGATCACAGAGTAATCTTCTAACTATTATAACATAATTTGATCATCAACAGCACAATGCAAGACTCACTTTTGCAGATCATGGTTTCTAGCACCAGGCTCTACTACTTAACCTCCAGTTAAGTTCATTAGGATCTCTGTAACACAACAATGCTGATAATTCCTCATCATATCCTCTGGCCTCCCACAGAGAGGTAAATTCATACGGTGGTAGACGAGCGACAGACATCTGATTTACATCTGCATAAAACATTTGAAATCTTTTATTTTAAGCAGATTACAGATCTCAGACGTTTGATTTGACATTCAATTACAGATTACCAAATCTATGTTTGCCATGTTTAGGACTAAGGTTAGATTAGTTTTGGTTCCACGTGTCTTATTATACAGTTTTGCACTTTTTTTATTTGCCTTGTTTCATAAATTGCACATATATTGGACTTTATAATAAGGATTGAATAGGACTGTTTGAGTTTTGAAGGACTGATTTAGTAGTTTGGTGCTAGGTTCTGAATTTGGATTTGTGTTTTTTGAATATCAATAACAGAATTTGAAATGTAGAATTTTAATTTTAAATAACAGAGTCAGTATCATTAGCATTAGCTAGCATTACTGAACTCAAGCTGAACTCATAAATGGCAGACAATGTTGTTGTTCACCGTTGATTTTTCTTTTTTGAGTGCAAATCTATATTCAGTATTACTGTCTACCAAGCAGGTACACTCTAAAAAATGCTGGGTTGTTTCAACCCAACTTTGGGTCAAATATGGACTAACCCAACGTTTGGGTTAAAAATTCAATGTAAAAATTTAACCCAATGGTTGGGTTAGTCCACATTTGACCCACAGTTGTGTTGAAACAACCCAGCATTTTTTTAGAGTGTATGAAGTAGTCAAGTCTGCTTTATTGTCAAGTCAGTACTTGCTCAAGTACTTGCTTTCTGAGATATTACGTGCAAAGTTCAGGACTAATTGTTGTCCACTGAGATGTTTTATGACTGGCTGGGAGGTTTTGCATCAAATCAAAGGCAGGTTTAAATATTCGTCAATATTAGGTCAAATTATAAATCGTCGATATTATTAAATCTCTTCCACATGTCTGATGCTGTAATCAGGGTTGCCAGGTGTCTGAAATAAAACCACCTCAGTTGCTACCCCCAAATTATTATTTTTTTAAATAGTCTAAAATTATCCCAATTGTGTTTTCTCCTCCATCGAAATTCAGGGGTATTCCACGTTTCTGGTGGGTAGTGGATAACATTTTTTTTTTATCCTGCAGCAACAGTGTACACTCTAAAAAATGCTGGGTTGTTTTAACCCAACATTGGGTCAAATATGGACTAACCCAACCGTTGGGTTAAATTTTTACATTCAATTTTTAACCCAAAAGTTGGGTTAGTCCATATTTGACCCAAAGTTGGGTTAAAACAAACCAGCATTTTTTAGAGTGTAAAAGTAGCCCTGTTCTGTCTTGGCAACACTGGCTGTAATAGTCACACACAAGGCCTAGTTCAATCTTAGTCATATTATTTATTTATGTTTATTTGATTTCATATAGGACCATTTTTTTAAGCAGAATATTTTGATTTAATTTTTATCTTTATTCTCTGATTGCTTTCAGCTTGTGTTGAACCCCGATCAACAGCAGCCATGGGTGAAATGGAGCAGATGAAAAAGGAGGCCGAAGCCCTGAAGACACAGATTGAGGTGAGACTGCTGTAAAGTTCTTCAATATTTGATGTACTTTCACAATGAAACAGTTAAAGAACATAGTTATAAGATTTTTGCTACACTAAAATGCATATTCATCTCTAGCTGTTCAGTTTCTATTTATATAAATAATAATAAAATGCTAATATAAAATATTTGTTCCCCTACTAGGCAGCTCGTAAAGCAGCACATGACACAGACATGGCCTCCGCCGCTTCTGGGGTGGCTCCGGCCCCTCGGGTCCAACTCAAGACCAGGAGGACCCTCAAAGGCCATCTGGCCAAAATCTATGCCATGCATTGGTGTACAGACAACAGGTGAGAACATCAGTACGGGTCAAATCAATTCATTAGGTGTGCTGAGTTACACTGCTCTATATAAATATTATGTAATATTGATCAATTATCAGTTTGGTCTTCGAAAGTCAATTCAAGGGGGGAAAAAATTTACAGAAAGGTATTCCACGAATTCCATTGGTTTACCTGTTGCCCTTTGCTGTCACATGATCTGCTCAAGCAGGTTAATAGCTCTCACAGGGAAGTCAACTGCACCTTGTGGTCACCTTGAATTAGCTAATTCTTAGTTAGATCAATTATCAGGGTCAGTGGCCTGAAAAAGACTTAAGCCTCAATGTATTTAAGAAACTGCTTTGACAGCAAAATCAAATAGCTCCAAAAAGCATATATACCTACATATATAAAGACATACACACACACACACACACACATATATATACATACATAGACATATATATATATATATATATATTTACATTTAGTCATTTAGAAGACGCTTTTATCCAAAGCGACTTACAAACGAGGACAATAGAAGCAGTCAAAACTAACAAAAGAGCAACAATATATAAGTGCAAATGACAAGTCTCGGTTAGCCTAACACAGTACACGTAGCAAGGTATATATATACATATAATATATATATATATATATATATAAAATGCGCGCGCACCCACACACACACAAAGAAAAACCAGTAGATAGAATAGAAAAAATAGAAAGCTGTTTTTTTTTTTATAAAAAAAGAAGATAAAGTAGAATTAAAATATTTAAGCACATTATTGTTGCAATTGTTAGAATCCAAAAAATCTAAATCAATTTAGCTAGCTTACACATGTTGTCAAGGCTGCTTTCGCAAGCCAAACATAACAAAATATGGGGGGGGGGATCGGGGGGGGATCTTCATGCACTCATGGCAATTGTCTGTAAAGTTCTGTTTACATTAAATACGACGAGGGGTGGAATATATGAAATACATGATATGAAATATATGAATTGGTACATCTCGTTGTCTTACCAGCTTTTCATTGGTGACTTTAGGCTAATGGTCAGTGCATCACAGGATGGCAAACTTCTCATCTGGGATTCTCACACTGGAAATAAGGTGATACACTTTTAAGCGAAGATGGGTATCTAAGTATATAATAAATATCTATGTATAAAATTTGATCTGAACACGTTTATAATTCCACCCAGAGTATGTGATTTTTTCATGCATCTGGTTACAGTTTTTCCTTAAGTTTGTGTACATTTAGAACAAATTTTAGTACTAAAGTTATTGATGAATCATGACATTTCACACACAAATTCACCCACCCACTGGGTCAATGTGGTGCTGTCAGTTTTTGACGATGTTCATCTTTTTAAGCAACAAAACCTGGTAAACATCTTTGAAAAATCTGTGATTATTATGCAATTACATTTGATTGTGTGGAAATGACATACTTCTCCTTTAAACTTTAAATCAGAATACCTTCAGGGAAAAGTTATAAATATTTTCCTCTTTCTGTAGGTCAATGCTGTTCCCCTCAAGTCCTCATGGGTGATGACCTGTGCATATGCTCCTTCTGGAAACCTTGTGGCCAGCGGTGGTCTCGACAACATGTGTACAGTCTACAACTTGAAGACACCCGTAATCAAGACCGTGAAAGAATTAGATGCTCATACAGGTATAGAAGTATTGAAATCAGTGGAGAATCTATACTTTCTTGCATATTTGTAAGTAAGTGCCTGTTATGTTATCTATTCTTCATAGGTTACTTGTCCTGTGCACGCTTCCTCAGTGACACAGAGATTCTAACCTCCTCTGGTGATACCACATGGTTTGTGTATTTTCATATTAGTTCCTCCAAATATCAAAATTAATTGCGTTACAAACGTTTAACTTTTTAGTATTACTTTTTTTTTCTTGGCCACTATTTTCAATAAAATTAAACGGAATGAAAAAGGCAACAAAAAAACACTATGAATGTACCATAAAAGTCATCCATACGAGCTTAAAGTGAAGTTGACTGACATCTCAGCACTTCTAGGCACATTCATGAGAGTTCATGAAATAGTTATGTTTAATTCAGTTGATTCAGTTCACAAAACGGCCTAAATGATTCATTCAGGAATCAGACCGATTAAGTTCTGATTAAGAAATAGTTGTAAAATAGTTACAACAAGGCTATGTTTGCAATATACTATACTATTCTTAATATTCATCCAGTATATAGTTTGCAAGCTATATTTGCTAAAACGTGCAATATAAAAAAAACATACACACACATCACGTGAAAAACGATGCAATGTGCTCAACTTGATTTCCAGTACGATAAAAGTAGCAGACGCAATCATTATGTATCTATTTAATTTTTTCTTCAATTTTTATCACTTTCTGGACTCATTATTTGATCAACCTGCCAAATAATAAATATTGTATTAAAATACAAAAATAACTGGATGATACTCACATGCAAATTGAACATCATAGCATACTTGTGTTTAGGTTTATCAGGGAATAATGTGCTACAACTTTCTTTTAGCCAAGAAATTGATTAACATATCCATTAAAAAATACCTTCAACTAAAAATGTAAGTTAAATGGTGCCACTGTCATCTCACAAAGTCTAGCTAGACTAGAAGTACAGCAAGCATCTCCATTATTATTAGGTAAGGTTGGAGATTTTTCACAATGCTATGCAGCTTGTTGAGAAGAGTTATGCTTTTACTTTATATTAAGTTACTTGCAGTCTAGTAAAGCATAAATCCCATAAACGTCTAAAAAAATCCCATAAACGTCTAGGGACCAGCAACTGCCTATTGAGACCAACCAGAAAGCACCACTCATTGTCTTTTGTTACAGTTTTGTTCATTTCCCTCCCATTTTTCTGCCAGTGCATTGTGGGATTTGGAGACTGGAAAGCAGAAGACTGTTTTCCTGAACCATGTTGGTGATTGCATGTGTCTGTCTCTGTCTCCGGACATGAACTCCTTTGTTTCTGGTGCTTGCGACTCTCTGGCCAAGCTGTGGGACATCAGGGATGGCCAGTGCAAGCAAACCTTCCAGGGTCACACGAGTGACATCAACGCCATTTCAGTGAGTTAAACATGGGAAAAATCACAGTTATTTTTTGGCTTCCTCACTGATTATGCTAACCTTCTAACAGTTTCAAAGATTTGAGTCTTTCCGATTTAATTTAAGAGCAAAGCACATACATGGAAATGGATTCACCAAACTTCCTCTTTCTTCAGTTCTACCCTAGTGCCAATGCAATTATCACTGGCTCGGATGACTGCACGTGCAAAATGTATGATATTCGTGCCGATCAAGAAGTGATCTGTTACCAGGATGCCGCACTGAACAGCGGCGTAACATCACTGGATCTATCCGCGTCTGGCCGCCTCATCTTTGCTGGCTATGACGACTTCAACTGCAATATTTGGGACTCGCTAAAGGGCGAGAAAGTGGGTGAGTTGAAAGAGAAAAAAAAAAGTCTGAGTTGGAGAGAATGCTGATTAAGCAGGAACAAAGTCCATTTTAAGCAAGTCAAATCACTGGACAGTCATCTTGGCAACTCCACTGAGCAGCTTTTTATGTATTTATGTATGTAGCCAATTTCTGAGTAATAAAACACTCTTCTAGCAGGGATATGATATAGTGTTGGTGTTAGTTTATGTTGGTGTGAGAAATTTAGCATTCCATCACTTGCTCACCAGTGGATCCTCTGCAGTGAATGGGTGCCATCAGAATGAGAGTCCAAACATCTGATAAAAACATCACAATAATCCACAGGTAATCCACACCGCTCCAGTCCATCAATTACCATCTTGTGAAGTGAAAAGCTGTATGTTTGTAAGAAACAAATCTGTCATTAAAGGGTTAGTTCACCCAAAAATTTTAATTAGGCTGTGTTTTACTCACCCCCGAGGCATCCTAGGTGCATATGACTTAGGAGACTGGTTTTCCTTTGCTAAAGTAAGGAAACTTTGCTTCCTTTGCTTCTGTTAACAAACGTTGGTATTCACGAGACTCACCGGCGCATGCGCAACGCTGACCTCATACGTCATGCTCCCGGAACTGCTTCTGTGTACAACTGCTAGCGCAAGCTAGAGTCAAATGATTATTACGTTTTGAATATGGATATTTTTCTAACAAAAACGCATCGATTCGCATCGATTCCCCCCCGGAGCCGTGTGAAACACTTTTTATTATGGATGCGCACGCTTTATTTGACGACTTGTGGACTGTTCAACTGCAACACCCGCTGACTGCAATGATAGAGCTTGGAATAGCCAGGACAATTTTTTATATAACTCCGAATGGATTCGTCTGAAAGAAGAAAGTCATATACACCTAGGATGCCTCTGGGGGGTGAGTAAAACACAGCCTAATTTTCATTTTTGGATGAACTAACCCTTTAAGGTATTTTAACTTTAAACCATTGCTTCTGGCTAAAATATGAGCCCTCCTCGATCCATAATATTGCTTTCTCCAGTGAAAAAGTCTGAATCAGGAGAGAAATATGCACAGATCAGGCACAATTTACAAGCAAAAACAGTCCAAAACTGTTCATTTTGATGTGAGAGGACAACAGGGGATGGAGTTTTTCACTGGATGTGGAAGTGTTTTTATGAATTATGGACTCATATTTTGGTCAGAAGTGATGGATTAAAGTTAAAACTCCTCATTGATGGATTTGTTTCTTACAAACTCGCTGCTTTTCACTTCATGAGACATTAATTGATGGTCGTGTGGATTATCGTGATGTTTTTATCAGCTGTTTGGACTCTCATTCTGACGGCACCCATTCACTGCAGAGGATCCATTGCTGAGCAAGTGATGTAATGCTACATTTCTCCAAATCTGTTTCTATGAAGAAATAAACCCATGTTCATATTGGATGGCCTGAGGGTGAGTATATTTTCAGCAAAATTAATTTTTGGGTGAACTATTCCTTTAAAGTTGGAATGAAATGAAAATTCACCATATTTATTTTCTGACTCCATCAGATTTTGAGCAATGCATTCATCCAATTCGTTTTTTTATTTTTTTGTTTGCACCTTGTAATATTTCATCAAAATGTCATAACTTGATCTTCCAATGGAAGTGTCAGACTTCTTTTTGGTTATGTAAGGAGGTCTTCTCCTATCATTTAGTTCATTTAAACCCTGCCATTGCGAGTTTGTGATCATCTGCCTCCACTTTTGAATGCAACAGCAACATCTCAACATCCAATCAACAACCTATACATAAAATCACCCTTTTTTCGTTTTCAATAAGCCATTGTACTCGGCTTTGTGTCACAATACAGTAGATCAGTCGCTAGCTACTTCCATTTCATTGCTTGTATTATTAAAGGTCAGATAACTTGCTTCAGCTGAAGCACAAAATGGTCTTTGGAACATTCTTAAAGGGGTCATATGATGCTTTTTTAAATATCAATATTTTGTGTATTTGGTGTAACAGCATATGTCGACTCTCTCTCTTTGTCTCTGTCTCTCTCTCTCTCTCGCGCGCGCTCTCTCTCTCTCTCTCGCACACACACACACACACACACACACACGATGCGCAAAACTCTGCATTTGAACAGTCCATAACAAATACTTAAACTAGTAACAAAACAGTAGCTGATTCAGAAGCGCCGGATTGTCATAGCAAAGTCAGAATTACTTCCTCTCCTAGGTTCACGAAACGGTCATCTATAAAATGCATTGCTGTTCTGTTGTAAGTAATCTTAAAGATTCCTAAATGCATCTACTTTCGGAAGACCAAATAAAGTGCTTTTGCTTTCGCCTAGAAACACACAGCATCTCCCTGACATGCCGCTTCAACACTAACTGCGGTTACTGAAACCATGGCTTCTTTCTTTGTGTGAACATTTGGGCAGCATTATGCAAATATTTCCACATAGTGAGGTAGATATGTGGGGGCGTGTTAGAACAAGCCGTTTTAGGGGGGCGTGGCAGAGTCTTAACTTTGATAAAGAATATCTCTTTGGTTTTGAGACTTTAGTCTTTGCAACTTCAGGGATCTTATCTATGCACAATCAGCTTGTAACACTCCAAAGAGAAAGGAAAACTTGAAATCGCATCATTTGACCCCTTTAAATCATGCTGGATAACCTAGATAATGTAAATGCAAAATAGAAGCAATTCCTGCAGTGAGCTCATGTTTTTAGGCCTCACTGTAAATTCTTTTAAAATCCGCAACTTTTAGTAGGCTAAACGGATTATAAGAGATAGCCTATGACTGCTCATTATTCGCAACGTTTAGCTCACAAAGATTAATTATTATTATTATTATTAATATAAGCTTACGTTCCATGCAGTTGCTTTCCTAGCGATAGCTGAGTACTTGCATGTTAATTACTGCTAAATGACTAAATGTAAATGTTAATTAGATTGCGCCGACGTGACGTTGCTCTCATGGCGTGGCATTATCTCATGAATATTAATTACGTCGCCCTGACGTCCAATCTTCCAACGCCAAAGCGCTTCCTCATTGAATATTTATAAACTAACCTTCTCCATAGTAGGATTCTTACGTTTCTCTAACGGGAGCGGTTATACTGCAGTCGGCGTGTTTGGTCCGTTCGGTTTGTCTCGCAATAATGTCTTCTTCCATGCAGTTGCTTTCCTAGCGATAGCTGAGTACTTGCATGTTAATTACTGCTAAATGACTAAATGTAAATGTTAATTAGATTGCGCCGACGTGACGTTGCTCTCATGGCGTGGCATTATCTCATGAATATTAATTACGTCGCCCTGACGTCCAATCTTCCAACGCCAAAGCGCTTCCTCATTGAATATTTATAAACTAACCTTCTCCATAGTAGGATTCTTACGTTTCTCTAACAGGAGCGGTTATACTGCAGTCGGCGTGTTTGGTCCGTTCGGTTTGTCTCGCAATAATGTCTTTAAGACAATTCTTCGTCGGTGGAAACTGGAAAATGAACGGCGATAAAGAGAGTTTGGGCGAGCTCATAATGACCTTGAACACGGCCAGTCTCAACGATGAAACAGGTCCATGGCGTTCATTTGAAGTTATGTTGTTTACTTGAAAGGATATTAAGCTGAAAGTATGCTCGTTTTTCAATTTAACCTGTCAGTCCGATGTATTTTGAGTATAATCGCTAGAGTTGTTTACAAGCCTCAGAGACGCTTGGCTGCATTCCGTCACGTGACACGGCTCGTGTTTGACCCGCTTTTACATTCAAATAACTTGAATATGAATCTAGCTCATTTGATTTTGTTTTATTATTCCATGTCATCACAGTCACATATTATTTTTCATAGGAAACGCAAACATTTTCTTCATAGGCCTGCTGTAGGAAGCTTCATTATTAATTTAGAATTTTTGGTCCTACAGACACTATATTTGTCCTGTCCCATATATCCTATATTTGCATAACAATTACATTAGAATACAACTTACTAGCTAAATAATTGTTAAAATATTTGTCCCATATGTGTAAAATAATCGTAAGCCAAATTATTTTTCCCATTCTACCTGGGGAAAATAGATTCAGAGGTAGGCAATAATAATAATTCACTCAAAAAATGTATTATTGTTCATAAGCAACACATTTTTCATAGGCCTGCTGTAGAAAGCTTCATTATTAATTTAATTTTTTCGGTCCTACAGACTCTATATTTGTCCTACATGCATAAAAAATGCATTGAAAAATGTTTGCCAAATAATTTGCTATAGAAGCCCATTTCCACCACAGAATAAAAAAATAAAATAAAAAGCGTTAATTGCAACTTTTTCCCCCCTCACAATTCAGTTTATTTCTGATTTCTTGTTGACTTGGCTATAAACTCGCAATTCTAAGAAGAAAAGTCTGAAAAATGTGCAAGTCGAGATAAAAAGTGCAAGATAAAAATGTTGCAAAGGTCCATGGCAGAAACTAAAACACAGGATTATGAGATGAAACCTCGGAACTCGTATACAAATGTCAGAATTGCAAGATATACACAGAATTGCGAGTTGTAAACTTGGAATTCTGAGATTTTTTTTAAAAAATTCCGTGGCAGAAACAGGCTTCCATAATTTGTTCCCATTCTACTTGGAGAAAAATATCTAACAAATTCAGAGGTAGTAAAAAAGTAATAATATTTCACACTAAAACTATGACATGAGGGTGAGTAAATGATGACAGATGTTTGGTTTTGGGGTGAACTATTCATTTAAAAGTGGTCAATCTGGCTTTCATAATCATATATCATCATAACAGTGGTTTTGTCTTCATTGTTTAGAGGTGGTGTGTGGAGCACCAGCCATTTATCTTGATTATGTGAGGTCTAAGCTGGACCAGAGGATCGGTGTGGCCGCCCAGAACTGCTATAAGGTACCCAAAGGAGCCTTCACTGGGGAGATCAGGTATATGTGCTCATTTGTATCTTTTATGGTTTTTATGAACAACCATTTATCACTGTCAAAACTCTAAAACCATATTTCTCGTTCTCTCCTTTTCTTCTCGGCTTTAGCCCAGCGATGATTAAAGACTGCGGTGTCGACTGGGTCATTC